ATTGTTTGTCTTCCTTTTGTTAAGTTGTATGAGTTCCTTATATATTTTAGAAATTAACCCTTTATCAGATGTATTATTGGCAAATATGTTCTTCCATGCAGTGGGTTTTCTTGTTGTTTTGTTGATGGTTTCTTTTGCTATGCAGAAGCTTTTTATTTTGATGTAGCCCATTTGTTTATTTTCTCTTTAGTTTATAATGCCCTAGGAGCTGTATCAGTGAAGAAATTGCTTCGGCATTTTGTAAGTGAAATAAGCCAGGGGAAGTCAGGGGATTGTCAAGGGCGGGAAAAAAAAGGAGACATATTTAATACTCTTTGTAATACTTTAAGCAATAAAACAATAAAATAAATAAAATAAATTGCTTCGGCATATGTCTGAGATTTTGTTACCTTTGGTGTAGGCACGATGGTCCAGGGTTAGTGCTTCAGAGGTTTCTGGCCAAGGTCATCCTACCAACAGGCTGGGAGGGACACATACTCCCTGTACTGCCTTAGCTGTCCAGCACTGGAGGGCTGACAGTATCCACCCAGGCTCAGAGCACCTCACTTCCTCACGTTGGGGTCCGGGTAGACTTGCTTTTGTGGTCACCATGAGAGAGGGCCTCTCAGACACAGACACAGGATTGGTGGCTGGCTTTGGGTCAATGACCACATTCTTCCTGGAGGTGCCACTACTGAAACTCCCACAGGCACCCTGGTGTGGCACTCTGCAGGGTCCCAGCCTCCTTGGAAAGGGCAGTTCCTTTTCAGTAGCAAATTCCTTTGTAGCTGTACTTCTCAGGGACACAGGCACATCCCAGAGGAGCCAAATTCTGTTGCAGAAAGTGTTTCTACTGGCTTTCCAGGGCATGGCATGTACCAGACCTCACAGACCTGGCATCTTTCATTCTTGCTGCCAGCGTTCATCCAGCCAAGACACCCCTCCTGGAGATCAGAGTCTGCTGAAAGGCCAGATGCTACTCCCTCCACCAGGGTCCCCGAGGGTGCTGGCACCCTGCAGCCTCCACACCTCATGTCTCCTGCTGCGCAAGCATGAAGTAACAGACTCTCTCAGCCCGTCCACAGCATCCAAGAAGGAGGGTGAATGTATTTAGACTTTGTCAGCTCAGGTACCCACATGCCGCCCTCTGTGGAAACTGAAGAGGAGGTGAAGGAGTCTGTCAGCATCACAGTATGAGGGGCAGGTGAGCACTGTGGGAGGACTCAGAAGTCTTGCAGTGGGAAAGCAATGTGGGCAGCAGAGAACTCAATGTA